TTATGTCCTCACTTTGCGAGGACATTCAGCCTTCACAACAAACAACAAAACTAAAGGTTGCATTCACTGTTTACATTTCTCCATCATATGTAACATTCAGTCCCACCCGAGGAAAACACAAGTTAAAAGCAATCAACTGCCTGATTCCCATAAACTGACTTACATAGTAAAAGCCTCCATTGAGTCCAGATTCTCTAGGGGGGCGTATAAGCAGCTGTTCCAGGCAGCCCCCACCCCTCCTTTCACTGGAAAGAGAAACTATGACTGCAGTCTTGATTATTATTCAGTGTGACAACATAGGAAAAAAACAGACAACAAATAAATTCATAAATAAAATTAAAAAAACATGCATTATCTGAAAAAGCTCTGTGGTCTCTTTGTCAGTGTTTAGAGAAACAAAGGTCAGACATTCTTGAGACATCTGTACTCTTTCTGTTTCAGTATTACTCCGGAGCACACATGAAGTCTGAGATGATCGGAGTGTGTGAGTTGTGAGAAATTGGTGAGCTTCCAGGGAAATGAAACTTCTAGTGAATTCAGTGAATCCCCAAAGTATCCTGTAGTTATTTGTTAGTTACAGTATTGTTATTATTAAAACTCACTTTTTTGTGATTTTCATGCAGGGCACACAAGGATTATGGTGTTATGTGTTAACCCTCTGGAGTACTTTTGCTTACTTTCTGTGCATTTATTTACACAGAAAATGTGAAAATGTGCTACAGTCTATTTACATGTAAAACGATTCTATCCTGTTTGTGTCTTTGCCATGTTTTCTATGTATACTAATCTAAAATATTTTATGATCTAAATGAGACACTGTGTGAAAGTCTCACATTAGGGGTTGTATATGCTACCAACATACAGAACTGTTAACAAGGACAAGTTGAATGCTGATAGACTGGAAATAACAATTTAAGTCACTACACAACACTAAGGCCCTATCTAGAGCCAGTGTTTTTCTTTTCTGGTTCTGGTTTGTCTGTTCTGGGCTACTGTAGAAACATGGCGGTTAAACATGGCGAGCTGCAGTGTCTGTAGATATAAAAGGCTCATTATAAAGTAACGAAAATGCAACGATTGCTACCTTCAGGTGATTATACACTAATGAAAACATACTTATGTATATTATATTCCATTTCTGACAATAGATCTTCCTTAATGTTACATACTGAACCTTTAATAACTGCCACCTGATCAAATTCAATGTAATGAGGCGATGGCAACACTACCGCTTTTGTCCACAGGGGTCGCCAGAATCAACAACAAAATGAAAGCTTGTCACTGTTTTCAGTTTTTAGTGTTTTAAAGTCTGAAACCTCTCTAAACCTGCTCTGTGAAGAGTTTTCTTCAAAGTTTATTTTAACTTACAACAGTTTGACTTGGCTGACTGTATAACAGCTCATCAGTAACAGGGATTCAAGTGCTGCAGAAGTGACCCATGTTACACCAAACTGAGTCATATGTTTGAGATCTTGGGACACTTTGTTTTGAAATTCTCCCCTTTGATTCTGTTATTAGCATTGTGATTATGTTCTTGCTGCTAGGAAGCCAAAAAGGAAGAGACACAGGGCCCATTATACATCATAGTAAACAGACTGATGTGGTGAAGATGATAAGCTTGTTGAAGGCCTCTTAGTGGTTGTCATTTCCTTGAAAGTTTTACATTCCTGACTGGGGTTACAGCACTGCTCCTAAAGCTTGACAGGAAAAGCTCCCTGAATAATACAGAATATATTCCATAGAATTTAAATCATGAGATGGTGAAACAATTGTGCTCCAATGTTTCCTGCAGTAAAAGCAGAAATCTGTCTTAAATCTCAGCAAGAGGGTGTCCATCGTCCGGGGAACTTCATTTTGGGTCTTTAAATAGAGAATTTCTTCAGGTTGAGGGCATAAAGACTTAAATAAAAAAAACAAATAAATAACTCGGTGTGTATGTACTTTGGCGGCCGGACAGATTTAGGATCTGAACCTTCAACTTCCATCACAGTGACAAAGCTACTGCACGATGTCGGTTTAACCGCATGAATCTGATTTATAAATCTGTAAATCAAGATTTTTAAAATCATCCACTGGAACGACTAAGGCGGGAGTTTATGGGCAGTCGACTGCCAATGCTAGATGTCCTGTTAGTGACATATTACTTCATAACTTTCCTTTTTTCTTCCCATTCCAGTAAAAGAAAATTAAACTTCAAATGGCTAAGCACCAGCAGAATTAAATCAAGCAGGAAAATAGATTATGTTCAGCGCTCAGAGGTGTAAACTTTCTACTGTGAAATTATTAGTAGACAGGAAATAAAACCTGAGTTTTCAGAGGTAAATCAGTGGCTGATAGGTGGACTTTTTACTATACCTTTTAAATATTCATGGCAAACCATCCGAACCATCCTTTTATTGTATTAATAATGCACATCAGACATTATGAACAGCAGCATTACTGTTTATCAGGCAGATGAAATATGTTGATACATGCCGTATTCAGCAGAAAGTTACGTTTGTAGAGCATCAGTGGTTAGATGTGAACAGTCACACCAAATCTGTTGTTGTAATCTCAACTCTAGGTCTACCCACTCGCTTTTGTTGTAGCTTTTAATCTCATCTCATAATCTTCCTCAGTGGGTGGAGTTTGCTCAGTTTGCCAGTCCATCTGAAGACAACTCAAAAGACTCTCCTTGAGGACTCTAAAATGCAGTTAAAAGTTCTGCAAAAAAGCTAACAGGTGGACCTTGAGTCAAGATTATTTGTCAAACTACTATTCCTAAGGTCGAGAATGAACGTGCACAAATCTGTAGTTTAACAAAATATGAATCCTGTTTATAGAAACAACTCAATCAATGTAATCGTCAGTGGAGTTGAAGTAATAAAAGCACGTTTTGGACTATTAATGTAATTTTCAGCAAGAACTACATTTCAGAGAGATATTGTTCTTAGGGCTGCACGATACAGTAAAAACATCATAATGTGATTATTTCAACAGATTTTGCAATTCACGATTACGTGAGAATTATCATTTTTCATCACAAATTGAACTGTCACTAAAAAAACGGATTAAAATCATGATGATGTGAAATCTTGGGGGGTCTGTACAAAACAAACATGTTTTCTTAAATCTGGAGAACAGGATTTGTAGACCAGGGCACCTCTGCAGCACTACAGTACTTCATTATAATGCTGTTTTGTAACACGTTTGACCTCTATGAAAACATTACAGCTCTTGAGATTTGCATATTGCACTTGGCAATATTGCAATTTCAATAATATTTCGATTAACTGTGCAGCCTTAATTGTACTTTTCACTCCATAGATCTTAGAACTCCTTCCACAACTGCCCCAAAACTCTTGAAAAATTTACAAACTGTACCTTTTTACCTGTTTTAAAGGGTGGTATTCCAACTACTTGTCTTTCATTGTTTTAAGACTAAACTTCATCCTGCACTCGTACTCGCTGTGTAAAATATCCATAATATCAAAGATTAAAGTTCATTCTGACCTTGGAAATAATCGTTTTGGCAAAACAATCCCAACTCAATATCCACTTATTAGCTTTTTTCTTATCAGCAGATCTGTTGAGCTGATTACGTCCACAGCATTTTAAGGACTTGTTGGCTCCGAAGTTATCCATTAAAATTCATTGTCGCACTTGGATACAATCCTAACTCAAGGTGCACTTATAGGCTTTTCAACCGTAGCACACTGGTTTCATCATGCTCAACGTTTAAGCCAACATGGACGAGAGGTTCACCACCAACAGAGCAAATTCTATCTGACGATGAAGACCTCGAATTGGGATTGTTTTTTCTTTCGATGGCTCCATAATGCTCATTGTGTGTATTTGTTTTACAGCATGTAAAGACAGTATTGCTACAAATATTTATTAATGTTGTACACACAGAAGCTGCTGCTGAGTGAATTTTAACAAAGTCGGCTGTTCAGAACCAAAGATAAACGGCCTTCATTTCAGCCCGACCAACGTAATTTCTGACACCATTGCGGCGTTTTGAAGCAATTTCATCCGATTAAAGGGTTGTGGTGTTTTCTCATCACATGACACAATCACATTATGCATCAACTGAAGCCCTTTGAAGTCACAAGGTTTTCAGATGACAACAGTTAAGTTTTTCTGAATGCAGAAAATCAACTTTAGTCCAAAATCTTCTGTTTATAAATTAGTAATGAATAAAACAAGGCATTTCTCGAAGTCTTATGAGGATAATCAACAGTCAGTGGTTTCCTGTCATATCATCACACCCTCTTTTTTAGACACTTGCCATTTCTGGAAGTGAACGTCCAACTCTAAATCTTTGTATGTGTTTTTTCAAGATTACAGTACTTAATAAAAATGCAGGATCCCAACAAGGCTTTTGTGTCATCATCACCAGCGGCAGCTCCACAGATCTGTCCTCATGCTTTTATTTGGTCCAGTGTGAAAGCTTGTTGGCTCCATTCCTCGAAAAAAATTCTTTCCGCTGGATTATGCAACAAAAGCAGCAGGAAGGGGGGAGATAATGAAACAGTCTGATGAAAGGGGGCAATAGAGCACAGCACCAGTGGCCACTACCATGAGTCACTGAATAATGATTTTAATTTACAAATGAGATCTCCTTGGAACAGTTCACGCCAACAGCAAGTGCATTAACAGAACTTAAATTTATAGACAGTAACAGGAGTGCTGCAGTTGTTTTTGATTATATGACAGAGTGCTGTTTATGTTCACTGCCTTGTCTCATATCTCACAGCCTTTTAAATTCATGCTCTCAATACTGATTCGCAGGTGCACTGATTCTTGACTTGCACACAGGATTATTTATTTACACATAGCAGAACCAATGACCTGATACTCATATTAACTGATGTTCAGTTACACCACCGGTAACTCAATAAAACAGCGTCCTAACAGTCAATTCACTTTCTACTGAGATTAAATTAATTAATTAGCTGGTGTTTTCCATGTTTGCTTATTTTCCTTATTTCTTGGCAAAGAAAAGCTTATTTTTTTGGATGAAACCACTAATTAGCATTAGCAATCATTCCCCAACCAGTACTCTGATATGTTTTATATATCTGAAATGTCGCTGGCACAGAGAACGACGCAATCAGCAAAACGAAGCTGAGCTTTGGCAGAAGTACTGTCGGCTTGAGTGGCCCTATTAAGATGAGTTTTACACTATTTGACTTTGATACTTGCTTGTTTTTCTGTATGACAATGTGTGTTTAAGCTTAATGAAGATAAGGCAGGGTCCGATTATGTTCAATATATATAATGATTAATTTGTTGTATTAGTAATAATGTAGTAATATATTGCTCGGATGTGTCTGTAAATACACTGAAGACTTCTCACAAGTCAACCTTGTAATCTAGTAACAGCTAAGTACCCTAATACGAGAATCTCCCTGGCTCAGAATTCAGCAGGACATAAAATTTAATTGAGTGTAGTTAATACTTTGGATGTGTGTACATGTAGCTATGAGAGCTTCAGTTACCCATAAACCCTTGCTCTGCTTCCCCACATAAACACATTTTGGAGTAACTTCGCTGAGGCATGCTTTCAGCTGACCAGGTCATAGCTCAGTCTTGATCCTGTGCATCAGGTCTCTCTGGTCCACCATGTCTGTCTGTCTGTTCCAGCGGTGGTAAGCCAGCAGGGCGATGTTCTTGGCGGCCACTGAGCTCATCTCCATGGCACTGCCGGCCAACTCGATACCATTGAGGTAGTAGAGATTGGGGTGGAGCTCCACAGGCGGCAGACCCTGGCTGCTGCCATAACTGGGGTAGGCCTGCCACTCTGTCACCTGCACTGAGTAGTACGACCTAAGATGGGGAGGTACAGAAAAGCTGTTACTCTGTCTTTAATCATTTATCATTATGGTAACACATTATCCATTTAATAACTGTTGAATGGATGTAAACAGCTTTTTAGCCATAATGATGATGGGCATTTTCACTATTTTCTGGATCAAACGATCAATTGAGAAGATAACTGTCACCTTATGCAGTAATCAATGACTATAATAGATACCTGCAGGCCTAGTCAATACCATGATTACTTCACCAGAAAGAAGGTGGCTGACCTGAAGAGTGTTTTGAGTTGAGTCTTGTCCAGAGGTTGTGGCGAGAACACTTTATAGACTCCAGCCTCTTGTGGCTGCTTACGCCTGAAGCCCGCCGAGATGTTGACCGGACAAACGCTAGCTACGCTGTTGAAAAACAGATCGGGTGTCTCAGTTGTCAAGACACTGGCAAAGGGGAACAGGCGGGGGTCCGGGAAACCAAAGAAAGAAGTGTTGAGGTAACCATGGACAATGGTTGCTACAGTGCTGTGATAGTTGCCGGGAAGCTGTTCAAAGGCAGGGGTGAAACCTTGGAAGTGGACGCCGGACCTGACACTTTCCTGGAGCGGCGTCGCCAACACCACAATGTCATACAGCTCTGATCCCGTCCCTGCTGCTGTGGTGAAGCTCAACTGGTACTGGGGCGCCTCCGCTGTACAGACAGAAAATCAATGTCAACAGTGTCCTACATGATTCAGATAGAAATTAATCGACAGTCCGCAGTCTACTTGTATCGACTGGCAGATAAACATCCAGCACATTTCTCATGTCTCAAGATGTCTGTGCCAACAGGCAATGTTGACACCCTAGAATGACAAATATGCATTTCTATGGCTACGTTCACACTGCAAGCTTTAGCGCTCAATTTTTTATTTTGTGGCCTATCAGATTCCAGTGTGAACAGGTCACAGTCCTTAAATTATATGAAATATATACCCTATTTTCAGTATTCATACATTTCCCAGAGCTGCTTTTGACAACCCAGAGACCTGACCTTGTAGCATTCAGCTGTGCCTTTTAAATAACATGTTCTGTTGCTTCTTTACATTCTGGTCTATTGAGGACAAACAGTATATATAGCATATATAAGTATTTAGTATTTTTAGATGTCCTGTAACCTGGATGACTGAGAGTCTTCATTGACAAACAGTTGTTTCTGCCTCACCAAAAGCCTCTTCTGTTTGATTATGAGAGAAGGTCACCACAATATGACTATGTTTATGTTTTAGATTGTTTTTATTTTTGTGGTATCAAACATAGGAATTGTCGCTCTGCTGTAAATATCTCAGATGTTCGCTGGTTATCATAGGGAATGAGAAAATAATCAGTCATATAGTCATGTTGTACTTCAATAACTTAAAGAAACACACCGTGCAGCCATTGGAAATGTGGGCACTGCTGATTGGTCAACACATGAGAACAAGAACAACTACAGCTTAATAACAGTAACCGCCATTACACACGCAAAACACAATAAGGAAATTAGTCTTAATTCCTTTCTGACATTCTAATTGAGACATTTAATCTTTAATCAATATTAAGTGTTTAAATGTAGATAACAGCATTGAAATATTAAAAAAAAAAACTCTGAATATCTGACTTGAATTTTCAGAGGGTAACTTAAGGATAAAAACTTGATTTATTTACTTATTTTTGTGCTAACTCAACAATTCAGTGTCCAAGTGTCCAATCTAAAAAGAAATACTATATTCACGCTGCTTGTTTTCATTTCTGCATTTAAAAATTCAAGTAAATTCAAAATAAAACTTCTGATTATTTACGTAGTCAAGCCTGAATGGAATCAATCTGTCCAATCAGGAAATGCTCTGCCAGTCATATGATTCAATATTAGATACTTTGAGTATGTTTGGGCATTATTATGACATGAGAGATGACAGGAAATGGGAGAGAGATAGGGAAGGACATTTAACATTCAAGCTCCCTGAAAAAGGAAGAAAAATAAAATCTCGTTTTTTAAAATTGCAACTCATGAAATGACCTTGTGGAAATTTCAAAGAAGGGGGATTCGAATGAAATATATTCAGATACTGTAGATCATTATTCAGCAGTGGTTGAAAGTCACGATCAGGTATTCAGTTGCTTTGAACGTCATGATCATAGCATTTCTTTACTTCCATACATACAAACTTGTGACGGCCCCAGTGGTGCTGCTTTTAATGATGCATATCTGATATCAGTTTGTAAAAATACTGAGACATCTAACATGATCCCACTCAACCAACATTGGGGTTAAGTACCTGAGTAGACTGGGGAGATGGAGTTGACTTGTGCTTGCAGCAGGTTAGCGTTGGCCATCTTCAACAGGCCAGAACACACCAGCTTGTTGCCTCCTTCCACCGCCCACAGGTTGTTCTGGGCACCAGCTAAAGACACAGCGCCTGCAACACACACACAGACTCACAACAGACAGTGCCAAGAGCTATAAACCAATTATCAGCTGCCCACACACTTTCCTGTTCTCTTGCTCCCACAGGCCACCCCCTCCTCTCACCTTGCTTTCCTCTCTTCTATTCTCGACACCCCGCTCCTCCCTTCCTCGTCTCCTGTATTTCTTTTCTTTTCCTTCCCCTTCCCTTTCATCTCTCCTGACCTACATCAGCGGCGACGTAGATGTTTTTCGGCTCATAACTGGCTCTAATTTCAGCACCGCGGCATCGCCCTTCCCTCTCTTCACTGTCTCTTTCCCACTCATCAACCCCCCTCGCTCTCTTTTCTTCTTCTATTGCTTATTTCTTCACACTCATCTGACCTACAAAGGCGGGGATGCTGACATTCTGCCCGTAGTTGACCCTCATGACGGGTGCGATGACCTCGTCGATGAAGCGCTGCGACACCCCCAGCTCCAGAAGCGAATCAGAGAGCGGTCTTCGGGTCATGTTGATGAAGCCGCTCCCACCGAGAGAGTCGAGCAGTTCCTCCACCGAGCTGAAGGCATAGCCATGGGCCTGGTACTTGTAGATCCTGTGTTATACAGACACACACACACACACACAACAAATTGTTCATTTTTAATTATAGTTGTAGACAGATTTATAAATTGATATGAATCTATTTTCCTCATGTCTATCCGAAAGTTGTGATTATCAGTAACTTCTTAGCGATTATTCCAGTATAACAAAAAAGACAAAGAGACAGGCAAAGAGGTTCTCAGGCTCACTGTTGTTGATTTACAGAGAAGTGATACAGAGATAAATCATTTCCTGAGGGAGGAAATGGAGGTCAGCGAATTGTTATGGTGGAAGGGTAACATGAAAATCTGAGTGTGGTTCATGTTTCAAGCAGAAACAGTACAAAGATAACAGAGCTGCAGCAAAAGATTGAATGCGCTGATTTAATATTTGACAGTCTGAGGACTGGCTGATTGCGGACATTAATTCTGTTGATTTATACTGAATCATTTTGTTGTGGGAGGATGAAGAGAGATCAATTTTCATTATAGTGGCACTTAAAGAAGTTGTTGTCTGTATTTATGTCAACCACATGCTTGGAAAGTCACACACTGAGTCGAGGTTTTACAGTGATTACGGCTGCAGGTGTAGGAAATAATAAATTGCTCAGCATAGGCTTTTCCCATTGATTGCAACACTGGGAGGCAGTGTTGTGTATTTATTCTATACTTGAAGTTATTGCTTTTACAGTAATGTAAACTTGTTTGGTATCATGTGAAGAGTGTAAAGGTGAAGAATACTTTATACCTTCTAAGACCAGGTCTACCTTATCTTTACTATCAAGGAACATTACTGATACCAGAAACAGATGGGAGAAAATATGAAGCAGACCAGGAAGACAAATCAATTTGAAGAGGTGCAAGTACTAAAGTTGGGCCCATACAGCTGCTATGAAACTAAACAGCGAACAGGGCATTAATATTTCTGGCTTACCTCATGAATTTCTCCATAATTTCCTCCACCCACATCTGCAGGCGCATGAAGCTAATGCCATAGCGCCACCACAGCCGGAACAGGTCCAGCAGGTACCAGTCTGTCTCCTCCAGAATCACCTCTTCGCCGTTAAACACCGCCGTCTTACCTGCGACGCTGCGGCGATACTTTAAACCTTGAGGGGCGGAAACAGGAAAACACAAAGGACAAACACACACAGGTAGGACTTTAATACTGAGGATGCTTTGAATGAATTTGTCTGTAACAGTTGTCAATTTTTACTGTAGAAATCAAAGGAGTAATGGACGGCACCAACAAGATGTAAACAGTCATGTGGTCTGATTACTTTGTCAGGTTGCAGAACCACAATGATTTGTCTTCCAGTTAGAGAGCCACACATGTGGCGCTACTTATAAAACTCAAACCATTGACCACTCTTCCTGCTCAGCTTACATCTGCTGGGGGCACAAAATGTATCTGATCAAGCTACATACTTATCTCCATGGCTGATACTCAAAAAAAAGCATTCCTCATTTAAACCAGGAAGCTTTCTTAGCTTGTAACCCTGAACAGATGTTTGAAGGTTACACTTGGGGTCACCCCTGTTGCTGTTGTTGTACTGAAAATCTTTTTTAAGCCTAGCTCTTGTCTGTAACTAACTTTTTTATATTTAATATGCATCCTTTCCATTAAAAATAACTAAAAAAGTGACAGTGACTGAATGAATCCTACAGTCACCTTCACTTATTGTCCTCTTGGCCTTTTAATCCTTGTGTGTGTGTGTGTGAACCAACCTAGCTGTTTGACAAATTCCTGCATGTGGAGGTTCAGGGAGTGAATGATGGAACCTCCGGACTCGTAGTCAAGATGGTTGACGGTTACAGTGGCGAGACGACCTCCAACCTCCCCTTTCTCAAACACGTCCACCTGCACCTCAGGACCAAAGTGCTGCCGCAGGAAATGTGCGGTGGCGCTGCCTCCTATGCCCGCTCCGACCACCGCTGGAGCACAGAGGATCAGAGCCAACGACAGAGAAGAAGTGTTAAAATCAGAGTGTAGTTTGGAAATTAAATGACCATCAACCACACAGAACTGTTTATATTATTGTGGGGCATCTGGGTGTTTAAGGACATGGTAACACGTATATGTGTCTCAAATGGACGAAGAAATAAAGTAATCACAATTGAGTGATTGAAAAGTAATACTGCTTTCTGTTATTTTGCAGCTTTTAGTGGGTAGTCATGATTCTACAGCTGGACAGAGGAATGCAGACGATGAACAATGGTGTCTTGTTGTAGTGAGAAGCAGGCAGACATGCTGCTTCTGGGAGTATTTTTTCCCCACTGGAAATTTCCACTGCAGGGTTTACCTTTAATAGCACCCTTAATGTGATTCAACAGAGAATCACGGGAGACACCTCCCTCAAGCTAACTTCAGTGACGCAGTCAATACACTGCGATGGTTTAACTTCTTAATCAGGCTTTTTTTTTTTGCCTTTTGAATTTATATAACTAATTCTTGTCCTATTTAATTCTGTAATTAGATTTTTTATGCAGCAGAACTGGTTGTTGTTTGTTCTAACACATTTTTAACCTTGGACTAAACCTGAGTTTAAGTTGCAACCCAAACAATCTTTTTGTCAAAATTACAGAGCACCCAAAAAAAGCTGCAAAATGTACATATACTTGTGGTGCAAACCAATTGAATTTCATACCATGCCTATGAAAAAGGTTATATAAGGTAGGTACAGTATGTGCTGGTGGGCTGTGAGCAGGTGGACAGAGGATGACAGGTGAAAATAGGGTCGTGTTAGGGTGAGAAGAAAGAGGCGAGGGCCCAGATATTCTCCATGGATATGCCAAGTGGTTTTATCTTTATTACACGGATAATATATATTTAGATAAATGAGGCAGCACTAACTATACACCTTGTAAAGTCTAATAAGTTAAAATAAAATCACACCCAACCTGCAGATATTACAGGAATATATGCATATGTAATAACCTGAAGGAATTTTCATTTAAATGTCTGCTTCATTAAACACATTACCCAGATGTTAGCTGTCTGAACACTATCAGATCTCCCTCACACCAGCTTGTAGCTGACTGCGGCCTAACATTTGCTCATTTCCACGGCTGGTTTCGACGTTTTAAAACCTGCTTTTCTTGCCTATTTTAGAAGGCGGAGCTCCGTCGACATGAGCGGATCCCGCCGGGTCTCCGACAGCCGAGCGGGCTGTCAGCACGACGACGAACAGCGGGAGAAGAGAGCCGCCCATAGCGGAACCAGAGCAGCGGCAACCGGGAGGAGAGGAGCGGGGATTAGTTTAACGTTACCTCCTCTCTTTCTTTTTACACACACACACAGACGTTGACGGTAAATTCAGAATAACTGTACTTTAAAAAAAATCAAAAAAAAAACCCCGTTACATGTCGATGGTCGCTGTAAATGAATGAGTTTGCGTTTTAAGCATCAAAAGATGCAAATCGATTCACCAATGAACGGCCCACGTCCGGCAACATCACGTGATCTCAAAGAACGACCCGCCTCGACCAATCAGAGCCGTCTGAGCGGGTCCGCGGCCTACGTAACTTGCGTGCTTTACGTAACGCTGCAATTCTGGTTAATGCTGCGTACAGTAACACAAACTATGATTAAACTATGTTCAGCTAATTTAAAGATACAGAAGAGACATTTTAACATTACATTTTACCAGTGATACTAATGAAGATCAGGGTGCTGTTTGTGTTCGTGTTGGCTCACTAGAAAGGCTCTGGTACACTAATTAACCTTAATAAGTATCATTAATAACACTTGATTACCCTATTTCATGTCAAAATGGCTGCTGTGAAAAAGCTCTATTGTATTTACACATTTACAAAACACGTGTAAAGTGTGTTTGAGATGTTTGTATATAAACAAAAATAAATTCACAGGACGACAATATTGAAAAACAGTGGAAGTTGCTTTTATTTCATTCAACAGAGAAACTGCTGCGACATCGGAGTAAACCACTGAGCAGAAACTAACATTCACACTGAGCCGCTGAAACAATGACTGGCACAGTGGAGCAGTAAGGCTTAAGGACGCCTCAGACACATGCACACACACACACACATACATACACGCAGACGCATTCTCACACACACTTCATTTACATCCACTATCTTACACCTCTGGCTGCTCGGGCTGCAGCCTTATCACTATCCCTCTCCCTCTAATCTGGTCAGTCAGAGGTGAGGGGTCATGGGTCACCTTGAGATCAGGTAACCTCTGTTCCCTGCTGTTTGCCTTAAATGTTGGGCTATTACAGGGCTAAGAGGCGACATAACACAGAGACCTTAACCGTTCATCTCTATGGTACATCTCTAAGCAACATGACCCCCAGCAATAACACTGCGAGGCCAGCCGTGGGCCTGGAGGGCGGGGTTCAGGGGGTTGTTGGGGTCATGCTCTGGCCAAAGGGAGGGCAAGGAGGAGTAGGGCACCGGCCGAGAAGATGATGCAGTTGGTCACTTTGTAGAGCGTCGGGTGGGCTCAGAGGCGGTGGGGGGAGGTGGTGGGCCGCGGCGGTCTAGGTCTTCGATGTAGAACATGATGAGCTTCCTGCGCTCCTCGGGGACACACTCCAGAACGAGGTACCGCTTATCGTTCTGAAGGATCTTCTCCACATCTTTCAGATGCTGCTCTGACTCCTGGATGAGCTTTCTCGACCTGGGGGAGGAGAGGACAGAAAGGCAGAGGGCACTCAGAAGCAGGATGGTAACAGTACTTTCCTCTCTGTGCGTGAGAGATTCTGGGGGAGACTGTGGTTTATGAGTCTTCATTAAAGCTGTAGTCAACTACCAGACTTTCCTTTGCAACAGTCACTTAAACTCATTCACTCACATTTTCACTGGTTGGGCGTTAAAAAACAACTGTGACACAAGAAGAGTGTTAAACGACAGTTTGCAGTTTGTCTTGACTTAAATGCTACTTGTCTAAGAATTTTCCAATCATTTACCAAAGTTACTGAGCGAAGGACTTTGCATATTAATTCTAAAGGTTTGTCAAACAGTCTGCTTAATATTGTGGAAAATTAACTGAAACTGCATCTAAAAGACGTGAGAAAATAATAAGAATGACAAATGAAGTTGCTCATAAATACTTCAGTCATATAACAGGTTAGAATCTCTAATATTTCTAATTGTATCAGGTTATGTATATTGAATTTATACATGCAACACACTGTGTAGTATGTTTAATTACTATTAATGACAGTTTTGATTATCTAGTCTGTAAAGAGTGAATGTACAGACCTGTATGTGATGAACTTTGTCTCTTTTAGCAGGGTTCTGAAGTCAGCTTTGGCTGTGATGTACTTGTCTTTGATGTAGTCTTCAAACTCCCGCTGTCTCTTCTACAAACAGGTTAACACAGACTCCAAAACTCAGATAAAAATGGATGTGCATTTCACAGGAAACATTTAAAGCCTAATTATACTCAAACCAAAATCTTTTTAAAGACATAAAAATATCAACAATCCTCTTGATCAAATCAGAACTTGGGTCACTGGAATCACGAAACTGTCAGAAAGTGACTAATCTTTTATTTTATAACTATACAAGCAGACAGGAGGTCACTCATGAAGTCTTACTCTGTCACTGGAGGAGAACTTGATACACCGAGGGTCCTCCTTGATGACCTTCTTCACCTCCTTCCATGTAGTTGTCAGAGTTATCTACAACACGAACACAATACACTTAAAAAGTCGATCAAAATAACTGATAAAGTGCAGAAATGGACGTGACATTAAGTCTTGAGTATTATTTGTGTGCACATGCAAGAAATAAAAACAGACAAACAGAGAGTCTTTACCATGCTGGTCTCGTCCAGTAGCTGCCTGAAATGTTCTTTCTTCTTCTTGGCCAGTGCTTCTACGTGTTCGTTAAACAGCTTTTCCTTCTCCTCTCTCTCTAGCAGTGACGCTGACTCCCAGCGATGGTCCTTCCGCAGGTTACGACGCGTGTCTGACCACGTTGCATCTGAAGACCGTACCTGAGGAATGAACAAACACAAACACTCTTTTAATGCTCCATGGGATAGAAGTTTCTGGACACTAGTAAAACTATAATGGCACTAGTCCGTCTTGTGCTCCTGCCAACATACTTATATCTTAAACATCCTAAATAATAATCCCTGCAGTCACAATCATAGCTGTAAAATCTGATTTGTTTCTGCAGGGGGGTCAGTGAGGACATACGACTATGGCTACAATCAGCTGCAGAGGATCTCACCATATCAGACATGAGAGCTTTGAAATGCTGGATGGCCTCCTCCCTCTTGTGCTGCTCCCTTTCTCTGTCGATCTCTTTGGTTTGCTCTGATCGGGCCTTCTGCACCTCCCGCTCCCTCTCTCGGAGACTGGCCTCGATGCGAGCCTGCCGCTCCAACTCCCGCTCCTTATCGATGTCCACGCTCTGTGGAGTATGACACACGTTGTCTGTGTAATCTTTATTTGTTATGTGATGCGTAGCTTGAGTTGTTGAGTCTCACGTTTCTCACTGACTGAGTGGTCACGTAACGCTGATAAGAAGACAGACTATAAATGGACCTAAAGAAACTGGCTAGCATAGCAACAAGGTCTACAAACAACCCTCAGTAGGAGTCAGTGGTTATGTTCGAAATCACATACTAATTCATACTATTCAAGTAGGACATTAAATTGAGAATGTATTGCAGTATTTTCCCTTAATTTGGTGTGGATTACACCAAAAATGTGGAGACCCTCTGTTCTATGCAGTCATGTGTATATTCGGGCCAATATGGTTTATTTTTTAGGACGTTGTCTTGGCCATGTGGCAGCATGGTATTTCCATAAAAATAATAAATAGGGGGGGAAAAGAACAATTGGATATGTGTTCAATTAATCTATTACTCACACCATCCAATTGTGTACAATGTAATTTATACCCACAGCTACAAAAGTAAAAAGAAATGTTCAACAGTATCTTCATCAGATCAGATATCACTAGCAGATACATATTGAAGCAATCATCCCCCATACAGAGAACTGCTCCTACCTTGGCTTGTTTTTCCATGTACTGTTTGAAGAGTTCTTCTCTGAGTGCGGAGCTCTCCACAGCCTTGTATCGTGGGTCAGTCTCTAGCCTCTCTTTCACTTTACTCCACCGCTGGCCTCCCTCTATGTGCTGCTCAGTTAGGAGATCAAAGAAGTCTTGCTTCACCTGAGAGCAAAACACACACACACACACACATCAAAACTGTGCCGATGGCAGAACCTCAGTAACTTTCTCAAAGGCACATCAACAAGGTAAGAAAAGCCTGCAGAGGTATTGACTCATGGTCAGTCGACCTCTTTAACCTTAAAAAAAAACAAAACAAAACACACACACCACATTCTGGTTCTAGAGAGAGATACTGTACATTGATATTGGAGTGTGAGTGAGTGATACCTTCTCTCCTCTGGACTTGGAGTCCTCTTTCTCTCTCTTCCTCATTGCAGTGATGAATTCTATAAAGATAGCCTCCCTGTCCTTCATCTTCTCTATGGTCTTAAATCTTGGGTCTCGGCCGTGCTTCACTGCAAATTCACTAAACGTTGTTCTGTAAAGATAAAACCCAAAGAAAAAAAAAAAAGAGATTCAATTTACGATGTTGAAGCAAAGTGAACAGTTATAACATCCAAATGAAATGATCTATTCACCACAACGAGAAATGACTTTTGTTAAATACTAATAATATATTATAATAGTAAATATTGCAAATATATGGTAAAATAACTGTAGATAAGTGGCCAGTCGCGTTACCTTGGTGTGAGCTTCGCATCCTCCATCATCCTCCTGAACTCGTCTTTGGCCTGCATCAGTTTGTTCTTCTTCTCCTTCCTCTCCTCCTCCGCTCGCGTCTTCACATACTGATCAAACACCTGAAGTGGACGGAAACATAAATATAGGACTTAAAAATAATGGCTGGTACAATACTGTGAGAAGGTGAGAATGAGTAACAGTGAGGGAAGAGACAGAAACACGTGAGAAACCGAACCTGTTTCCTCTCTTTTGGGTTGAGCAGAAGGTAACGTGGGTCAAACACAATCTTATGAAGCTCTTTGTCCCAAGTCGAGAATGCAGACACCTAAATGGATGGATGGAAAAACGGATAACACAGGCATTAAACGGACAGCTAAAACTTAAAACACTACCCAACAAAACATTATGTCAAATTTCACTATTTTGTCGTTGACAATTTAATTAACGAGTAAGAACAGCTCAAACTATTAAGACACAAAGGAATAATTAAGAATGTACATAAAAACCTACAGAAAAACTCAAAGAATGCATAGGTTTGTCCTGTCTACCATAGGCCTGTGCCTAGATACACAGATATATGTAGTAAGTTCAGAATGAAATTTGTCTTACCCCTCTCTCCAGAAGCATTTCTCTGAACTGAGTCATCCGAGCCTCTAGCGGCACTATAGCTCGTTCTCTGGCAGCTCTGAGCTCTGCCTCCATTGCAGCTTCCTTCTCAGAGTCTGCTTCCTTCACATCCTCCTTCCTGTGAGAGACGACACCACACAAGTCAGGAGAGCATCAGGAGGGTTGACATCATATTTTTAGAGCTGTAAGGTGACTTTCACAGTATCATAACGTTAACTAAGGCGAGACATGCATGACTTACTTTCTCTTTTTGGCTTTGGTTGGCTCCTCGTCCTGATTCTCTTCAGTAGCAATGGCTAATTCTGGTTCCTCCTTATTGACACCTGCTTATGAATACACAAACACTAAATAAATACTACACACACTGTAGCATACATATCATAGCAACAAACAATACCTGTGTTTCTCTGGCCACTGCTGTTGTGACTTTGTACATCTAATTGTTTTGAAGTTATCAACACTACCAAGAAAGCAAATTGCTCATGTCTCATTATCATTATTATATATTGTCATAGTTACTGACATGTGTTTGTCCGCACCTAGTCTTGTGATACCAGACAATCAGAAACCTCAGCACTTATAAATCGTCGGTCTAATCGGTTTTCTGAATGCAGTAGTTGCTTGAACGGCTGCTAACAAACGTATGCCAATTACTTCGAGGCACATGCGTCACCCAAAAACAATGCTTAATGACAATGGATGTCACAAGCAGTGTTATATGCTACGACACACAACTAATGCATGTCACCACCAAAAACACTTTGGATTGGTTCTGAAATGCAGTTTTTTTTGTTAACTCTGTTTCCGCCCAGGAAAAACTCCTTATTTAGTCCTTTAGTTTGTTGAGAGACTGGCTTGTGAGTGTAGTCTGCACCTGTCTTCTTGGTGTCCTCCAGGCCTCTCTTGTGAGGCGGCTCCTGGATGTGTTTGTCAACATCAGCTCGACCAACCAGCTCTTCGGGCCGGTCCCACATGGACAGCCTTGTTGTCGGGTTGTAGAAGAACACGCGATCGTCACCCGTCCATACCACACACCTGTACCATACCACACAGAGATTAGAAGGGGAAACAAAGAACGCATCAGATTTATTGCAGTAAAGTGGAGGGAGAGATGGTGTGGGCTGTGATGTGGTGTGTGTACCATGGCGTGCCAGGAATAGGGTTAGTGGCTATAGGCCGGGCTTTCTGAGCTGCTTTTTCCTCTTCAGTCATCTCTTCTTCTTTAGGCTCCTTGAAAAAGAAAGATAATGATGTGAAAAATCAGTTCACTATATCAGTACAGCGAACAGAGAAAATGTGTTTCTTTGTTGTCAGAGCAAGTAATTTGACTCTTCACATACCTCCTTGACATTATTAGTGTTTTCTAATTTGTTCTCCTCATCTTCCATCTCCATAGCTTCAGCCTCCTCCTGGGCCAGACGCTCCTTGATCTTTTCTGCTTCTTTTTCTGAAGACGGGGAGGAGAAAAAGGCGCACAGACACAGTTAAGTAAAAGTGGTGTAGTGATGGTGAAGAAAAGCAGCTTGTCATCAATTTTACCACAGTTTAATGTTCAGTTTCCTTGGCTTAAGCCTGTTAATCATCAGTCATACCTGCGAGTGACACAGGTAAATCTTAAAAACAGCTAATGTGGGATCAGGGTTCTTGTGTGTTTGGCTGTGCATCCTTTCTGACAAAGCTTGTGCGTGCTCTAGTCGGCAGTGCCTACCTTTCTCCACCAGGGCCTGTGGTTTCTCCCAGGTGGACTCCAGTGTTCGGTTGTTATAGTAGTACGTTTTCCCATCAGCTGTTTTGTACTCTGACCACTCAGGCAGCTGCAATGATCCAGCCATGGAGGGAGCTGCCGAGAGAGCCAGCTGTGGGTGCATCATGGAAACTAAAGGCGGGCCCATACCAGGAAGCATGCCTGTCATTAGTCAGAGAGGAAAGAGACAGACCATGATTGGCTGAGAGTCGTCTTTCGGTCTGAGCCACTAATAGTAACTGCAGTGGACTAATCTCTAGAAGAGACTCTAGTTCATACATCAATTTGTGAAATGTCATATACAAAACTTGTATTCAAAAATGTGTTAGCAAAACTAGAGAAAAGCCGACAGCTCCACAGGCAGAACAAGACTCACTTCAACATAAAAGCACTGTCCCCTCTAAGTATTTGCCAAGTCATCTGGGAGAAGATGAGTGAGTGAAATGAAAATAATTCTGTCTGAAGAAACTGCTGCCTTCAAGAAACATAACTGACAACAAACACAGGCCACATACACAAACAAACAAAGCAGTGACCACACAAACAACCATGCCACAAAAGAAAACAACCACATGACCACAACATGTAGCCCTAACTGCTACTGATTCACTACAAGGCAACAGCAGCTGGCGTTATGGGATCTGTCCTCACAAAGATGGGTCTCAACTTGTTTACAGTACCAACCACACACCTCAAAATCTACAACTTGGCCCAATCTAACAATTTAGATGCTAATTACAATCAAGTGTCTTCTCATTTACTAAAGCAAAACAGTAATGTCTTGCACTTTACCTAACAATTCCTGAGGAACACACGAGCAAAGTGCATTCGTCACTTAGTGAACGCTGAAGGCTCTAATGATTGCACCAGGGAATAGTTTTCTTTCCTGTTTGTTTTAAACAAGCAAATGCAAGCAAGCAAGTTGTCCAGTAAAACATCTTGAAAATACGCTGGTGATGAAACGCTGTGTGTGGTGTATGCCTTGCAGAGTAAACACAGTAAACTGATCATTTTAAGTCTGGAGGTATATTCACTAATGAGTCCAAATTAGGCTACAACAATCAAGCTGTATGTTCTGCCTCTGTCTGTTGGAATGGAGGAAATTTCACCACTGTACACCGGATGGATCATGTTCACACCATTCACCACCATGCCAATGTTTGAGGGTTCCTATATAAAACATATGACTTATCATTCACTACCATGCCATCTACTGTAGATCTGAGAGGCGAGCGGCTGGGTGTTTACCGTTGGCGCTGTGGCCTGCCTTTACACAGGGTGCACCTACTATCTGCATCATTGCTACACCTGCAAGAACAACGGACAAGCAAGCATCTGGTTGAACACAGCAGGACACTAGACATCAACTAACACGGTGTGTAAGAGTTTGTGTGTGTGTGTGAGGATAATTGGTCGTCAGCGTGAGTGTGTGTTGATGCTTGTGCTTCCTCGCATGCTTTCTAAAGGTCAATGGTTTAGCTAATGAACCCCAACACACACACACACAGAGTGCTAATGTCAGTGTTTAGCGTCTGTGGTAATGCTAACCTCAAACTGCTGCAGGGAGGTAAAACAGTGCTGACGTGTGTGTGTGTGTGTGTGTGTGTGTGTGTGTGTGTGTGTGCGCGCACTGACACATTTAAGCTGTGAAATTACATCATTATGAAGTGTGTGTGTGTGTGTGTGTGTGTTTGCAGTAACAGTGATGAAGGTCACACTGAGCTGCTGCAGTTTTTCCTCTGTTGTTATTTTAACAGTACAAACCTGTGTTTTCCTAATTCTCTTAAGTTGTGTTCACACTGCGTTATTTTAGTCCTAACCTTCCACTCATCGTCAGTTTAATGCTAAATGCCTCCAGATTGAGGAAAACTGACGGGTTCCTAAATGTCCTAGAAAACCTTGAAAATCTGGATGTCTAAAGTTTCCAGTCCTGATTAAAATGACCAAATATCCTGGAAATAAGTTACAAGTTGGTTGTTCTGGGTTTGATTAAAACTGTAGTCCAATCACTGGAGAAAATCACCTGTGGGGAGAAAAGCATAAAGCGAGCTTCTTTCTCTAGTTGTTTTAATCAATTTAGACCCGTAATATACAATGTTAGTATGAATATTACGTATAAAAAGCAAATCAAATAATCAATTACAAACTGATCTAACGATGTGTAGTGTGTCCATATTGACAAAAGTCTTAACATTTTTATTTGTGTGGGCAATCTAAGCAGCTCAGAACTCACTCAGACTTTAAGAGGTTTTATACATCCAGTGAACTAATAAAAAATCCAGAGCAGGCCTCTAACCTGTATCCACACCAGGCTAGTAAAGGAGACCTGCTTCTGTTTGGGACTCTGCGTCTTACAGAACACATTATATTATTGTAATTCATTAAAAACTTAATTTACCCAGGTTACCTTAACAATAAATATTTATAAACTTTGGTCAAACAGTTTGAGTGGAACTAACTTATCTGCTTTTACTGTGAAAGGTGATACAAAATGTATAGAAACTGCTGTTTGCCGTCTTTACCTGCAGTCCACCTGCCCTGGTTCCTTTTAAAGAGCTTATATTAATATCTTTCAGCAGCACAGAGACATGATACTGTAGCTGTAGCAGCTGTTACAGTCCTGTTCGTGTGCCGTGGACCTGGTAGTTCTAGTACTAGTACTAGTACTAGTACCCTACTCGGTAGATTTGCGTTGCCCTGCTGGGTTTCGTCACATGTTCTCCTGCTCTCTCACTGTAACATCCTTCAGTCATGTAAAATTCATGTGACACATCTCTCCACTTTAAAAGCTTTAAGTGCTTTTGCTGCTCGTTTCTCACAAGCAGAAACAAACCCAGCTGAGATGCTTTGGGCCGTGTTCAAACCAGAGCGTCAGTCAGACCGAGAGAGGAACCGAACTCCGTTTTAACTCTAGTTCAGTCTGAATCTGTCAGAGGAAATTGCAAACTGTGTCTGCGAGATAAAAACAAAAACCCAGAGGGGATTTTAAATATTATAGCAGCCGAGAGGAAGATATCAAAATGACAAATGGAGACACAAATACAAACAAACTCAGTGAGCAGCAGAGGGAAGTATGAGAGGAAATGAAATGTGTAAAATCACTGAAACTGACAGGAACTCACTGCTGCCGGACTGGACGGGCAGGATCTGGTCCCGCTCTTTATTTGACAGCAGCTTCACCAAACGCACCAAACCCTCAGGGGAACATCGATATCTCCAGTAGATTTATGAAGAAACGTCAGATTTTTGATGCCAACTATAAAAGGAAGGACTTCTGTTTTTGTCAAGGGGCTGAATATTTTCAGTATTATTTATCATTCTTGGTTAAAGTGAGTAAATAGTGAATCAGGGCGTTCAGCAGTGTGACCCACTGCCTCTGGAAACTCAACGTAAAACATTTTAACTAACTGTTGTCGACCTAAAATGAACACAGATTCAACAACTGGCTTAAAACGTTTTCAGAAACACATTTTTTGTTCCCACACGAGCCGCCATGTTGGTCCGTTTTGAGTAGAAAGTGTCCAATCAGGTGCAGCCAGAAGTGTTTGTCGTAGGAGGGTGAAGCCTGAGGGTGGCTACAAGCATCCAATGCCGGGAAGCGGCGCAACCCCCTCACGTCCACAAACCACTCCTACACGTACCATAAACTGACCATATCAGAATGAGGTGGAGGATCAGCCAGTCTCTGGAGAATTACAGACTGTTCCTTTAAATGTTCTTAGTTTTATAAATATCATTGTGTGCAGCTAATGGAAACCTCCTTCAGTCTCTGAGCTTTAGTTTTCCACCAAACCGAAACAAACTCCTGCAGCTCGACACCCAGCCAACCACCTCACTGTGAAACCACCAAAACAATGTCTGGACCTTGTTTTAGGCTCCCAGCGCCATTTCAGAGCCTTTTCCCTCCAAGACAGAACTTTCTTTTTGTTCTTTTCACTGTCAGAAACTGGAGCCACTCAGAGAGAGGAGAACTTTCAGTAAATATTGACAGTAAAAAGTGAGAGGCGTCACCAATGAGCGGCTCTAAACTGCGTCTGCTCCTCGTTAACACTGCGGTAAGCTCCACCCAGCTGGCACCTCCAGGATGCCAAAACAAACCACAAACTCTCTGCAGAGACTGCAGCTCCGCTCGCCTGGTGGAAACATGTGTGTGACCTCGCGGCGACCTTTAGAGCCAGATGAGTCCACGTGGGCCCCGATTGGCCGAGCAGGAGGCTGAACTCTGATGTCATCGATTGCTCAAGTTGTTGTTGGTGTTCGAGCGGGAACAAGAGTGTGTGTGTTTGGTGCTTAAAAACATTCAGATGATCTCACTCTATCACGTGTGTGTTTGTTATTGCTTCAACACAGAGTAGGTAATGAACAACTGGTGAGACGCTCTGCTCGCTATGAGTTTGGCTTCTTGTTGCGTCTCCAATCGGTTGCCGGACCCTGGACCGTGTAACACAGTGCGCTTTATTAAATCCTTTTAAAGGACTATAAACTCCTCTTTTAAAGCAGTTTCAACTCATTCTAACCTTCATGAAGAGAGGATTTCTTTCAGGGCTCATTCAGACCAAATTAGCCAAAAATTCTGGAGAAATCTGAAGCCATGCTGTGGTGGCCAGTCCGGTGATCCGACCTGTCAAACTGCTCTAAAGTCATAGTACGTGTCAGAACAACAGGGGACCAAGGATGGCGCCTTGGGGAACACCGCAAGTAATTCTATCCTTCATAAAGGGAGGATTTCTTGCAGGGCTGTCGTTATTCAGACAGAATCAGCCACTATGGCGAAAACACCAATCCCCCTATTGATCTGAGTAGTCTGTTTAGGCTGTGTGGTGCAGAGCAGTGACCTGTGACAGGAAAGTTTAAACAGTTTTGGAGAAACCTGACGTCAAGCTGCGGTGGCCAATCAACAGTCAGCCTGGAATATTACTGAAGAAGGAGTTAATCATTACCTCCAGGAATTTCAACAAATTTAATGTTTGCTTTCTTCGGAAAACAGCACAATTTTTTTACAGTGATATTTTAGGCTACAACAATCCCTAATAAAACCTGAAGGGACTCTGTGATTCTGTCCAGTTGTGTCCTTGCTTGGTTTATTTGGCTTGGCTGCAAATTACTGTAAGCTTTCATACACAGAATAACAGTGAGCCAAGGATAGAGTCTTGGGGAACACCACAAGTTGAAGAAGAAGAGACGTCACCAACCACTTTTAAACAGTTTGAGCAGAAATGTGAGCACTTATTGCAGCGGGGTCGGTACAATCTGACTACTTCCTGTTGAAATAATTAGCAGATTCTGCTGATAGTTTATCTGCTTGTTTAAGGTCTGTTTGGACTCGTTTGTGGCCACTACACCAAAATCACT